TTTGGTTTCACTTGGCGATGGACTGTTTTACAAGACGACCGCTGAGGAAGCTTTGAAGAAGCCGTCAGGCTCAGTGACAGCTCAGCATCTGCCACAGCTAAATCAATACCGCCGTGAAGGACGGGTTCCCGGAGTGGGTAATGAAAAGTGGAGTAAAGTTAATTCACCTTGAAAGCCTGAAAATATCAGCATGAAATTCTTTTTTTTTAGGCAAAGCAAAAAAATGTGAGGTGCTGAGGTCCAGCCCTGAGCAGCCGCGCATCTGCCCAAGCGTTGCTTTTAGTGGGAACAGGGAGCAGGCTTAAAATCAAAAGACTGGAGGAAAAGGTGTTTTGCTGTGAATTATTTTAGCTTTCCAAAACCTGGGTGAATTGTTTCAGCTTTTTTTGCGGAACTGTTCTTGTTTTCCTCTTTGTTTTATTCCAAACACTTCAGGGAAGGCAAATTTAATTTGAGATAGACTGTCAGCGTCGCGTAGAAAATGTTGGATACAAAATTTGACTCGGCTCTGTCCCGAGATGCTGAATTTGCAGGACTGAGAATTAGAGGGAAGGTGCTCCTGTAGATGGCTTAGATGGGTAAGAAACGTTCTTGTTCGGTTCGATGAAGCCAGTTTTGTGATCATTTTACAATGCGGAATTATTCTGAAAATAATAGGATGCAAATATCTCCAAATCGGAGGTTTTTAGTGTTAACCGTTAAGTATTTTATTTTGTTCCTAAAAATACCCTATAGTGACATACGAAAATCTATCCTCAAGCTGATTAATTAAAATACAGAAAGAAGGAAGTACCGAATAGAAGCAGCATTGTGTTACCTGTGCCCTCTCTTATTAATATTTTTGGGTAGGTACCGTATAAGCGTGCACTTTTACGCTAACGCACCTCTCAAGGCTCTGCGTCATTTATAGGCTCTCGTGTTTTATAGCTGGACTCATTTGTCTAATTGTCCCAAATCCATTTTTATTAATTGTGCTGAGATAAAATTGAACATTTAATTAAATGAATAAACAAAGTTAGATTGGAAAGAAGCGGGAAGAATGGGAAAATTAGAAGACTAAAGGGTAAATTAGCAGCTGCAGGAAGTCTGAGCCTGTTCATATTGTATGTTCACCTTTAAATTTACATACAGGTCTATCTGTGTGTAGGTACATGTATAAATATACATATTTGTGGGTATCTAAAACACACCAACACATGGATTTATACAGTACAAACTTTTATATTGGCATACACAGAAAAAAAAAGGAACCTAGGAGCAGAGACCTAGAAACATCTTCTGGTACAGTCCAGAACTTTAAAGCTGTGTTTACAGATTTCCTGTTATATTTTAACAAGACAGGCAATTTAGGTGGTGTTCCTCAGTGTGCAAGTGACGTTCTGGCATCCTGCCTCCAGCAACATTGCTATCCTGAGTTCGTCTTAATGTGACAAGAACTTGGTGTCCCACTCAAAAAATTCCCTTAAAAATACTAAAGAAAAAGACAGTCAGGAACATAACAGCAAATGTCTGGAGAAATGCAAGTCATTAAAGAGAAGGTGAATAAATGCTGTTTGACCTAACTAGTAATTTCAAGAAATTGGGTAAATTAATTTCACCTTCAACCTCTGTAACATCATCTCTCGCATTCCTTGTAATCGGAGAGACTAAATTAAAACTATTGAATTGTATATGCACCTTAGAGATTTCTATAGAGATTGTTTAAGTCCTCTCACTGTCAAGAGAGACACAGTGTTTTATTTCCTTCAGAACCTTTTGCAAATGATCTTTGTGGCCAGTTCCTCCTGCCCAAAAGAATTAAAATACAGCAAGAGTGAAATGCCCTCAGTAGCACTCCTTTGCTTTTGTTTTTTAAAGGTGGGGGGCAAGGGTCACATTTTTCACGTCAACATTTGCTCATTAAGTAGGGATGCTCTGAGAAACCTTCACTTGCTTATTACAGGCACTAAGGGTCGTTGATGGAGAGCCTTAAACCTTTAAAGGCTGAGAAAGGCAAGAGCAGTATGAGATGCTCACCGGTATGTCCATGTCCACAGGTGTGCATCTGTGCGTAGGGGATCCAGTGGGCTCCAGAGGCTGGGGCATCTCTTCCAGCTAAGGATCTGATCCAGCTCACCCCTCTGTTCTGTCCCATCCCTGTCCTCTCTGCAGCTGATGCAATTACCCCAGACTTAAGTTGTGCAGAGAAGAGCAAAGGCTTGAGTATTTTTAAGGAAGACTAACTTCATTTCATCAGACTCTTCCTAGCAGAGGACCCTTTCCCTGTAGATGAATGTCACAACAGTTGCAACAGTTGCAATGCAAATTATTTTATTTATATATATGTAGTATTTGCTTATTAGCCCAAACATGTTTTGTTGCATACCAAGACCTGCAAAACAATAAATACTAGCTTTTTTAAATGATCCCCTTTTCTAAGTTTCATGTAGAGAATAGCGATGGGGGAGCTGATTTATAGAGATGGATAGATTTTCCATGCCGAGTTATGAAGAATGTGCTCTCCCCAAAAAACAGTGAACTGGTCCCAACAGCTACCAGTGTTGGTGTAGGGAAGCACCATGAGCAAGGGGAGTCTTTGAGGTGCAGCTTCAAAGCTGTGAAGATCTAAGTAGGTTCCTTTTACTTGTTTGCTAAAAGGGCCCTCCGTGCAGTAACCTGTAAGAAAAGGGGAATATTTAGATGAACTCAACCATGTGTCTTTACCACTCCCAATACGAGGCAAAGGAAGGCTTTGATTTCCAACAAAGGGATAATGCTGGTTTTCTCTGTGCAGACTCTTTGGTGTGTAGGCTTGGGAATTCTGGCTTGGTGAGGTACTGCTTGGTGGAGCTTCCAGCAATTTTGCAGCCTTGATTTAACCTTAATTTCTTGAATTCTATCTTTAATTTCTTGAACAAACATACTCTTTGAAAAGAGTACAACTTTCCAGGACCCTATATTAAGAGACAGAGAACTAGAATTCCTCTTCTGGCTGTATATTTACTATAAATTGTCTCTGCCAAAGAGTAATTTTTTTTTTTTTGCAGAAAATGTAGTATATACCGGTTGCAACTGTCCAAAAGAGTGGAGAAAGCTGGGAAAAAAAAAAAAAAGAAAAAAAAAAAGAAAAAAGTCAGGTGGCACTCATCCATCTAGACATTTTTATAATCCACATACTCTTATATCCTGAGTGACTGTTGATATATATATATCTGAATGGGTACAGAGGTAGAGAAAACCTTTCAGTAGCTAGCAGATATGATAGAATGATGAGTAAAGCAAGGAAAAAACCCTACGCCTAAAGTAAAGAGCTTTATTTCTGGGTATCACATCAACTATTAGTCCACTGTGCTTTCTAAAGCTGAAACATCTTTGCTACATGTCGTGTGACCTTGTTTGATATGACCTTGTATGTTGAGACGAAAAATCGCACGACTTTTATGAAACAATGAACATCGTGTTTCTGATGAACTTCAGCATCTAATGTTTACATGGGGGTAGCAAAAAGCACCGTGAGAAATGGAAGTACAATTTTTCAATTGGACAGGTTTTGGGAAAGCACTGTGTTGCTTTAAAAACGCCACTTCTCATATAGGGTTGATAAGCAACAGTAAAGGAGTATGAAACAAAGTGAGTTTTCTGGAACGAGGTAGAAATTTGTGGTGTAGAGGGAAGACGTTATGCGCTGAAAGATGGAAGGCTTTTCGTTTTTCTTTTCCTTTCACAGCGGATTATTTCTTGCCATTTGTAGGCTGCCGTTGTTTTTCAAAAAAGCGATATGGAAATGCATAGCTGCATTCTGCTATAAACTACCTCGGAGCAAAGATTATTAAAAATGACAGGCACATTTCTGCGTATTCGATAATGTCAAGAGCTGAAGTAAAGTGCTGCACATTGGTGTTATGAGATATCAGAATAATTCTCTTTTCTGCAAAATCTGTAGCGCCTAATGGAAGCATGTCATTTTAGGCTTGCTTGCAAGGGTAATTACCTTGTGACTCAACACAGCACCTTAAACTTGATTGACTTCAAGAGCGTCTTTAAATCCACCACTATTCAAGACAGCACTAGCCAAGGTGTGCATTTAAGTGTTTGCTTAAACGCTTTACTGAATTTAGGCTTCAAGAATTAACTGCTCTCCGTTAAATACTGTTCACTCCATTACACTTGTAGTAGTATACTGAGGTTGATGCCTTTTTAATTGGAAAGGCCTGGTTAAATTCAATATGGCATGTCATTGTTTGGTGTTGCACAACTCAACTGGCTGAGCTTGACAGTAACATTGGTGTGTTTGGAAAAGAGAGAATCAAACCAGAGGAGAAGGTAACTCCCGGAATGAGTTTGAGGTCGTGCTTCCTACTCTCCTGTGTCCTCCTCCTGCTCTAGTGATATGTCCTCAGCAATGAGGTAAACTTGGGACTTTCCAGTTTTTCTCTCTTTGGAATCATTAGTGGGTGGCATCTAGAGTTGACATGAGATATCTGAGTCATCTGCTGTGAAAATGGCACTCTGAATCTTTCTTGTGCACGCCTCAGCCATTGACACAGGACCCCATTTGTATAGGTATCTCCTTGCCAGGCTTTCTAGGTCCCTTTCTTCTTCATTTCATCTCTTCTTTGGGACTGAGGCCATTCTCTACTTGTAGCATGTGCTAGCTGAGCCTGTCTTACAGGAGATCCACGTGATTCCTTGCATAGCGTCTTCAAAGGTAGGCTGAAAATTTGAAAATTAGTTTGGATTAGTATAAGGTTAAAATGCACCACTCCCTGTGTTGACATTGTCTGTATGACTGATTTTGTAAATTAATGCAGACTGAGGGGCTGTATGGTTAAATTCAGTAAATAACTCTGTGCCTGTGTGTGTGTGAGAGTGTGTGCATGAATAGAAATGTTTGATTTACACCTACACATTTGCAGTGTTTTGTAACCGTACATAAAATTCTTTTAAGTTACCCTTGAATTATGAGTAGCAGTTACTGGAGCCTGCATACTTATTTTTAATTGTCTTTGGGTTTTTTTCAGCTCTTCTTTATGCAACTATTTTTGGAAATGTCACCACCATTTTCCAGCAAATGTATGCCAACACCAACCGATACCATGAGATGCTGAACAATGTGAGGGATTTCCTAAAATTATATCAAGTCCCAAAAGGCCTTAGTGAAAGAGTCATGGATTATATTGTCTCAACCTGGTCCATGTCTAAAGGAATTGACACAGAGAAGGTATGAATACGTGAGGTAACAATTCAGATAGCAAGATTTTGTGTTCATTGTCTACTTTCTTAGGAACAGGTCTGTGTAACAGCATATAACTCACTAACAACTTCTTAACTGCATGCTACTCCGTTATTATGTTTGAGTTTAGATCAAAACATGGATGTTTTAAAAAAGGACTGTTTTGCTGCTTTGGAAATATGCCTTTATTTTTCATTATGGTAAACGTTTTCTGCTTTCCAGTCTTACTTTGCCTAAATACTAAATAATTTTCATGTACTTAACTACTGAAATCAACGGGAAATTGGTCTTAAAATTAGTCCGAGAACGTAATTTGGTGTCTCACCTGCATCAATATTGTTCTGAAAAGTATTGGCATCTGTGAGTTGCAATGAAATGAGTTTGATTGGCTTGGACCTTTCGCTGATGCCCAGGACATCGACATATCCAGAGTATGGGATTTAATGGCTGCGGAGACTCATCTCCTTGAGATAAAATCTCTTGGCAAGAGCTTAAGGCCTTTGGTAGGGAGATACAGAAAATGTGGCACTGCTGGCAGCCATGCAGGGTAGAAGTCCTACAGGACTTTAGGCCTCAGAAAGGACTGGTCATTTAGGTTTCTTGAAAAGCTGATTAAAGGAGAACGTTGTCTTCGGAGAGTGATTCATCGTGTGCCAGGAGAGACCAAGTGAATTGTCCTCAGGCCCTCTCTTTCTCCATGGTATCTGCAGTGAGTCCATCTAGCCTTGGATATTTTAGAGAGCTGAAGTTAGATGGAAGGGTTTCCACCTGTAATACCTTGAACGTAGGCAAGATACAACATTTTTAGGTCTAGATATTTGGACAGTGGAGATCAACGATGCACCTGTGGCTTCTGTGGACCTGGTAGACATCAGCTGAAATTAGGCATTCAAGCTCCAGTTTCCATGAAGATTTCCCTCCTAAGAACTTAAAAGGCGAGTGTCCGAGGGAGGGTAAGGAAGTGTCATGGCAGATTAATGTCTTAAAATGTCTAGTGCTTGCAGAGCTTTAAGTTCTTGCTTCAGATGAATCTATTGTGTAATATGGGATGGTGGTGCAGCTTGTTCAGATGTGCCAAGAAGAAGTCGCTACACTGAAAAATTTAGTCTTACATCACGTTGATGCAACAGCAGTTATCTTATTAATCATCTGCTGTGAAATTGAGTTTACCATCACGAAAACAACTATTTTAAGTAACAAGGATTTTGATTTCTTTGATTCTTGTGCTTCAGTATGTCACATTCTTTAATATGTTCACTTCTTATACACTAATACCCTAACTTCCCAATGCTGATCATACAGTGTTAAAAGCGAGCTTTTGTATTGTAAACTACTGTAAATGCATTTAGTCCTATTGTGTAAACTCGAAACGATGTGAAAATTCAACTTTCATTTGCATTTATCTCCTTGCAGTTAAGCCAGAATCCTGTATTATTCCACTGCAGTTTCATTAGATTTTAATGATGCTTTGCAGTTAATTAGGAGAACCTATGCTTTAATTACTGAAATTTCCTTCCATAGTTTCCGCATGTCCGGTTTTATAGATTTTAAAATGCAGTTAGAGCCATAATCTTCAACTCATGGTAAGCAGTGTTCTCTGGTCTGTAAGACAGTAGTGGCTGCTTAGCTACGTAATTAATATGGCTGTAAAATCTGTGACTTAGGTTTTAACAATTTTCCCTTGGTAAAGACTTGCCTAAACTTAGGCCTGGATCCAAAACCTATTTAAAACAGTGGAAGGATTTCAGGAACCTCTGCATCTGGACATCAGTAGTTGCATCTAATCGAACTTCCCAGAAAAGCCCATGTTACAGAAGAACAGAGACAAGATCAAAGTAAGAGCTTGAGCACCGGTTTGAATATTTTGGTGTTTTGTATCCCTTACAGCCTGCAAGTCTGCAAAAGCAACAGTGCCAGCGGCGTGTAGTGCCCCCACTGAGCATCCCTGAGTCTGTATGAATGTAAGGATCAGGCAGCTTGCTTTCAGCTGCAGGACCTTAGCCAAAGCCAGGATTTGTTTTAGCCAAAGAGTGGAAAGCTGTGTCACAGCCAGGCAGCCTTCCTACCTTTAGCTCTACTCGGGAAGGTGTTACAGTGTCCTTCACCAAAACAAAATCAGAAAAGGTTGTAAATCCCAGCTGAGCAATGATGGAAACAGTGGTACAGTCCCAGGGACTGGTCATGTAGGGCGGATCATTTCTCTTGCATTAGTTCCTTCATTGCCCCTTCAAGCCCTGATGTAAGACCCTCTGCATTTAAGTTTAATCCATCTGCACTAACCCTAGAGCAGCAAGTGGGTGGGAGTGCACCGTAGGGACCCAAGGTCAGATTTATTACCGTAGACACAGTGGGGCTGACGGGACTACATTGCAACTGTGGGTGACCTGCTAAATCCAGATAGTGCTCCAAAGTAGGTTGGAATAGGGGATTATTGCCCCTGATCTTGAATTGCTTCTCTGCACTGCTTTGTCAGGCAGCCTGGACGTGACCTTAGAGGTTTCCTCCAGTCTAGTTTTCAACGCTCCAGTAATGAGATTCCGACCAGTCTGCTGTCCGGATATCTTTGCATCACACGATTTCCCACTTTCCCTAAGTTTTATGAACTTTTCAATAAGCTTCTTAATATCTTGCAAAACACGTGTGCTCATGACACATGATTAGTGAGGAATTTCTCAATGTTTCAATTTCCATGACAGAGCTCAGTCAGGTTCCATCATCCAAGGATGTTTTTCTGCCTAACATACAGTATGACATCCTAAACTGTTGCAAATATATCTGCATTGTCACACTGCAATGTGTTCTGCAATGTCATTTGCCACGAAATTTATAATGCATTTCGTTCAGTCGTTCAGCATGTTGAAATGGCTTTGTTTTGAAATCCAAATTCTAAGAACAAGAAGGGTGCTGTACTAACAAAGAGAGAGATTTCTTATATGAGTTTTACAGTAGAATCCTATGGTGATGAACAGTCCTACCGATTTGATGGAGTAAAAAGAAACACATGGGCATGTGTTTCTTTGATAACTGGAGATTTTAAATTCATGTGCTTGAAATTAAAGTACGAGTTAATAACTTGATTGGAATTACTACCACTACACTTATTACTACTGCTTAATATGTGTAGATTCGTTGCATCAGAGCTCAAATATCTATTCTTGAATGAGAGATTCAGTGTATAGCCCCAAAGAAGATTTTTGGCTAAAACTGGTAAGGATGCGATGGGAACTGAAGGCAAAGTGCAAGTCAGAAGGAAGTTTAATGAAGGTCCCTAGTTCTTTGCTGCTTGCGAGAGCAAACCACCCAGAACAGAAATTTGTTTTAAAGCTCCATTCCATTGCCCTTGTATGTGGAAGAGGACTTGTTCTCCCACGCCAAAGTGATGGTGCCTTAAGCACACAATTTTGGCTTCCGTGTTCTTCTCGGGAATAGCTCATCTTTAAATCCTGTCTTCAAACCACAGCCCTTCAGCCTGTCTCTGAGTGTTCACAAATAAGCAGTTAACACCACCACTAAAAGCATTAGCGTATTTATTATTATTACTTAAGGGGAAACAAGCGGCTTCTCGTCCATAATCTTAAATCACTTAAACATGAGAGCTCTCCTCTGACAGCTGGGATGATATATGTAATACATGCACGTGGACTCTTATCTCCTGGTGTAAGAGTGGCTCAAAGAAGATGGATATTTATTTTTTTTTTACATTTAACGCTACAGGTTTCAAGGTTATTCATCTAATAATGAGCACAGCTAAAGACATGACAAAACTGAGAAGCCTTTATATACTAAAAAGTACCTCTCATCCAGCAGAACCTGGTTTTTTGAGAGAGGTAAAAAAGATGCAGTCCATTCTCCATATATCACCATTTTTAAACGGCTGAAAAAAGTCTTTACAATAATAAATGGAGACATGAAACACACACTGAATTCAAATTGCTTAGTTTTGATTGAAATCTCTAGGCAGCAAATGAAAAATTTATAGATATTAGCTCTTCTATAAAAAATAGGTCATTATACATGAAAGCCTAACAAGCATTAACTAACATGCAGATGTTTCAGGGTCTCATCTTATGATAATGTTCTGAAATGTCAGTGAAACCCGAAGATTTTCTCTTCTTGACCTCTATGCTGTTGTATGGCTTAAGATTTGCTCAGAAAGCAATTAAACAAGTGTCTGTCATGTTTTAAGAATTGCTTCCTTCAGAAAAGCCATAGGTTGAAAAAGAGTCTCAACCTGAGCATCAATGGCTATTGGAATAATGAGAGCCAATTCCACATTGCAATGACTGAAATGGAAATCATGGGAAAATAACACAGGATTAAAACTATTTACTGCTGGCCCACTAAGCTTTCGTACAGGAGAGATGAGTTTATGGTAAACAGAAGCAGGTTGTAACTTTATTAAACATTAATCTACAGAAGGACAGTGCAGTGTAGTCATGCTTGCTGTTAATAATATCTTCAAGAGCTGTAGTATTAATTGGTGATGCCCTGAGATGAATAGGGGAATCAGGCTGCCATTCCTATGGTGTCCCGTCACATAGAGGTGTCTGTAAGTGCTGGCTGGATTTCCTCATGGATGACTGGGGTAGAAGGCTTCCAAGCTTCCTGGCCAAAAGAGAACTTCTCCAAAACTAGGTGTGACAGCTGCATACAATTCCCTGCTGAAGAGGGAAGGTAAAAATCGTTTGGACAAGTATTTTTGTTTCGTTGTAGAAGCGGGGTTGTTGGTCGTTCCTTGCAGATCGGGACGAGGTGAACAAGAAGTCTTCCCTCACCTCACAGAGCTGAGCTAGGACCAGGTACAGTTACAATCCATGGTTCTTTGGAGAGCGGGATGCAGGAGAGACGGTCAGGGTCTCACTGTCCTTCACACGGGTCCAAGAGCGGGGCCTGTCCGCCAGTGGGGCTTTCTGTTTCACCTTTATGGATGGTATGGATTATTTACCTCCTGTATGCACTTGTGGAGAGCCAAGAAGGTTTATCCACAA